CTCTGCCGTGCGTCGATAGCTCAGGGTTAGCACCCCCGACTGATGCCAAATCGATAAGGTTTGATGAAGCAACCGAATGTCCTTCGTCTAGCCACACTGATACAGCGAAACAGGTCTGTATGTTGATGATCATATTAATTAGTTAATTAAAGCTCTCGTCTATTCGATCGAGCACTATTGAGAAAAAGATAATTCCAAAACAGTGGCCGTGAACACTATTAACGCTCTGCTCTTCATTAATGAATCGAGAACTGTTGGCTACTGGCATTTGTTTACATAGTAAAACAATACGTTATATATAATCGACTCTCCCGTCACGTTCCAGGAAACCGACATCCCGACACCGACACATGAGATTTGTTTATAGTGGAGGGACGAATACAGAAACCTGGTGCACCGAATGCATGTCACAAGGTTCCCAAACGACCCTCCGCAGGTTTTGAATTCAGAGTTGTCCTTCTCCTAGACCAGTTGCCATCCAAGTCTAAAGAACCCAGTCTGTCCTGCTATTTTACCCATAGCTGGAGGGAGATGAAGAGGATACATACCTTTCCCAAGGGTATTAGCACGTAAGTGAATGTAATGGATTCGACTGGAATTCGAACTCGGCTCTGCGATTCCTCAATCCAAGCCGCTATCCACTGCTCCTCCGTTATTTATTTATTTATATATATATATATATATATATATATATATATATATATATATATATATATATATATATATATATATATATATATATATATATATATATATATATATATATATATATATATATATATATATATATATATATATATATATATATATATATATATAAGGAACATTGAAGTCAACACTCATGACAGGCAATCATCAGGCCTGATGATTGCGTCTAATATGAAACAGCTTGTCGCTTTTGAGTGTTGACTTCAATGTTCAGTTATATACATACGCTCTGTCTCTGATATTGAGCACGTTATCGCATAAATATAGCACACCTTAAAACTATATTTCTTCTCATATATATATATACATATATATATATATATATATATATATATATATATATATATATGAATGTAAAGTGTTAAAAGATAAAATTTCTATATTATGCTTTTTTTCCTGTTTATCAAGCCTTTGCGATTAATTTAAAGCGGGAATATAAATCGGATTAATAGTTAACAATATTTGGTTTAAAGCAAAATGGCGAATGTTTCTGTGTAATATCTAATCCCCGCTATGACAGCGAATTTTGGATAACCTCGTCATCGATAAAGAATAGACTTGAAGTGATAAAGATGTGATTCTATTGACAAATGCTAAGAATACAATAGACTGAACATGTGGGCAGCATATAAGTTTTAAGAAACTGCAAGAAAACGAATAATTACAATCGGAAAACGACAGATTAAATTTCTGGAACATATATGGAATGGGTGGTTCGATAAATTAACACCCACCAGACATTAAGAGAAGCGGTGTAAAACAGTACGTAAACAGTCTAACGGGTTTACGTAAATACGTAAATGACAGAACGGTGACTAATGGCGATGATGATGGTTAAAATATTTCTTACAGCAACAAAAAGGAAACTTAAGGTAAACCCTGAGAGAGGAACATACGTCCTGAAAGAACCTACATGGCGTACAACCATAAAGTTCGGTTCCGTTCAATCACCGAAGTTAAGCAACGTCGAGTCTCGTCAGGACCTAGATGGGTAACCGCTTGGTAAAAGCTGGTGCTGTAAGCTTGGATGCGAGGAAGGTTTAAAGAATAATGACTCGGAATTGTTAATCGGAGAGCGGATTTCCAATCCTAGTTGGATTTGTTATATTCACTTACGCGCAAATAACCTTGGCAAAGGTATGAATCCACATCTTCTCCCCCAGCTATGGGTTAATTAGTAGTACTCGTAACACTAAATTATTATTATTATCTCAAAAAATATCTTACAATCTAAAAACATTTTTTGGCTTTAAATAACCTACAAAATATTGATAAGTCGTAGAAAACGAATCAATCAATTAATCAATTGATTGTTATTTATTTCTCACTGACTGATTTGGTTGGTGTTCCACACTCATTAGATTCTTGGTTTGTGATTTTCAAAATTTCCTCACTTGAAAGGCTTACACAATACAATATTTCTCGCCTTATTTCCCTTATTCAGCTCTGTATTTCAATAAGAGAACTTCATTCTTGTAAAATGATTCATTTGAACCAGATTCTGCAGCCGATATTCTCTCCGGCCTTCCTTCGTTCGAAGCTTTGTCATAAAAGCAGTAAAGGTAGATTCGATTCTAGTTTGATGTCTATCTGCTAGATTAGCCTTAACTTAGTAATTATCTACTATGACCTTGCTCGTTAGCTGAAATATTTGCGTCTTTCTTCCTTATATATATATATATATATATATATATATATATATATATATATATATATTCTTCTAAATTTATATCAACAAAGTAAATACTATCAAAGACAACAGACATTTTGTGTCGATTAATTTTAATGATCGACTTTTCCATTATGAATAATCCTTCTCGGACAAGGATGAAAGTTCATATCGACACAAAATTTCTGTCATTTTTAATATTGATTGATTGATTCGGCTTCTACGACTTATCAACCCTTTAAATGCAGGTTATTTAAAGCCAGAAAATATTTTTAGATTGTAAGGATTTTTTGGAGATGATAATGGTTTAATGATACAAGTGTTATTAATTAATCCATTGCTGGGAAAAAAAGATGGATTCATACCTTTGCCAAGGGTATTTGCGCGTAAGTGAATATAACGAACCCAACTGGAATTGGAACTCGGCTCTTTGATTTCCAATTCCGAGCCATTATCTATTACACAACCCGCATATTCAAGCTTGCTGCACCTGGCATTCCCGAACGATCTAGGTATTGACCAAGCTCGACGTTGCTTAACTTCGGTGATCGTACGGGAACCCGTGTTTCAATGTGATGTGACCATAAGCCCTTTTTTTAATACTATTTGCCTTAAAGAATATTTGCTGCCGAAATACACAGAATTTAAATTGCATAATTTTGCAGCTTACCAAGTTATCGATACTAAAAAGAATTCAGACGAAGTAAATCGAAAAGCAAAAATTAATTTTCTAACGATTTTCATCTCGTTAAGGATGTTAATAACACAAAACAAACATTGAAGTCTATCATTAGAATTAATCGACGCGAAATATCTTGAATGATAAGATCATTTGCTGCTTAAATCAACAGAATCAACAAAGTAATAAACATTAGACGTCTGAAATCTAACCATTTATTTAATATTATCGAAATATTTAGCATTTAATATTCCTTATTAATGATGCATTAGTTTTCTTTCAATGCTCATTTCGGCATTTCCTTTGCACAGCAATCTGCAAAGTCCGCTTTCGGGATTAACATCAGCTGCATTATTGCAGTCTTCATTTAATCTTATCCACAGAGTTTGGCATGCTGTTTTGTCAAAAACCGAAAACGTGCACATGTCATTAAAACTCTACTCGCCTGGTCAATTTGAATGTTATGGTTACACAGTATACAAGTAAAAATTATCTCTTCTCACTAAAGTTTAACTTAAAGTTAAATTATCTCTTCTCACTAAATTTAACTTTGGTTTGGATCTCAGGGTTGGACATTGGGGATCTGGGAATGGCAATGCAGCACTGGGCAATATGGAAAGGGATTGTTAATGGAGTTCAAACCAACCACAGAGAGGTCGAAGAATGATGATGGTGATACAAGCTCATTTTGTGGCATCTCACTACTGACTGAGTATGCACAATAACGCCTCCTTTTGGTTCGTTGCCAAGTTATATCAACGTCGCGCAACCGGTTCTTGAGATATTCAAATCGTGGCCTATGTTTTTGAGTTTGTGTAATATTGTTAGTAATGCCTCATAAAAATGATAGACTAACATTTTCATACGCAAAATAATTGTTCATTCCTTTCTAGACTCTGTGAAATTAAACTCGAGTGATACATCGTTTCAAGTTCAGCTAGGTCCACTATCTGTTTATGTTGATGCCTCCATCAATCCTTTGAATCCTGATTCTGCACTTAAAGATCACCTTCTAGGCCAATCCTCTAGCTATTTTGACATTCTTATGTGACACCGAGTACACAGCTTATTTTGATCTATCTTGGAGTAAACCTACTGAGGTCACCTCATCTCAATTCTTCTTGGATCAAATGTTTCTTATATACATTAAATTCGATTCAGACCTCTGGTACTACATTTGTGATTATCTGATCTTTTTTCCTTCCTTATATCTTAAAATATCATGACAACAAAATCTGAAAACAAGATATATAATGTCTATGACACTAAATTGTCCCAAACTGAACGCCTACCATAGCGCTATGTTTAACAAGTTCGACTACTGGACCAAGTTCAATATTCACAAGTGATACACATATGTGGTTTTGCTCTTTACTAAGCTACGTTTATTAAATAACTAGAGTTTCTCGATGTGCAATAATAGCAAGATGATCGAGTAAGGAATCACTACTTGACATTGAGTTTGATCCTCTTTTCATGCTCCACATCTGTGTCCTTGTGTCAGATTCTCTTTAGCTTACCAAATAATGGGTGCTTGGAATAAAATGATAGTTCACAAATTAATCTCGCTAGTTTAATGTGTTCGATTTTTTTAGGAGCTTTCCTATGTTATGTGTTTGGGACAGACTAAACTAAGCTTAGTAAATATCTACACCTCCCTGATTGACAGTGAACATGAAACTGGTTGATTCCTTTTCTACGGTTTATCAACCCTTTGCGGGTTATTTAAAGCAAGAAAATATTGTTAGATTGTAATTTTTTAAGATAATAATGCTTTCGTGATACAAGCCTTAATAATTAACCCATATCTGGTGGGGGGGAGAAGAGATGGATTCATACTTTTCCCAATGGTATTTGTGCGTAAGTGAATATAACGAAGGCAACGGGAATTGGAAACTCAGCTCTCCGATTAACAATTCCGATTACACCACCTGCACATCCAAGCTTACAGCATCTGGTATTTCCAAACGGTCACCCATCTAGGTACTGATCAGGCTCGACCTTACTTAACTTCGGTGATCGTACGGGAACCGGGGGTTTCAACGTGATGTGGTCGTAAGTCTCGCGAACAAGAAAGGATATCCTGTAACGAAATCAATTTTTCGTATCATTGTTGTTCTTTTTAATTGTTTTTCTTTAATCATTACGTTCTAAGGAATTATTGGATTTTATTCTTAATCCAATATTGTTTCTCATTATATTAAAACATTATATTTTTAGTGGATGCACGTATTTGAGTAGACGTACTGTTCTTTAAAAAAATTAATGGGAATTATATCTAGCCCTCTGTATGCTCGATATTCTTAATAATTAAAATGCACCTCTGACAGAGTTCACTACTGGGTCTCCCTTTGTAGCTGTAAAGTTCTCTGCAGCCAAACGGTCTAAAATTAGCTTGAAACCTGCTGGATTGCACTTGCTCATTATTAAGTCCCCCAAATGCACAGGCCGGTAGATGCATATCACACTGTTTAAAAAAAATGGCGTCAATTCAAACACATGTATCTACTAAAATATAACGTTTAAAATAATAAATCATTGTTATAAGGAAATGAAGATGATGAGGATGATGGCGGTGGTGGTTTTGCTGGAGGTGGTGATGGCGACGACAAGGTCAGCAAACAGAACAGTAGGAGAATATGGAAAGCGCTGCTATTGTGTCGAATCAGCGAGAAAAGAAACATTTTCAGATTTTTGCCGTCGTATCGAAATTGTGATCTCCAGTTGAGAGGCGGGAACATACATGTCGCCTGATGAGGGATTTGATAAGGAGGGAAGCAGATGATGGAGCTAAAATAGAGAAAACAATTTTAAAGAGAAACGAACTGAGAAACACACAAGAAAGTCTTATAAAAGAAGAGACAGAAACAGGTAAATGTAATTTAAAAATATAGAAAACCATTTAAAGCATATGCGTAAGTTTCTTTCAAAAGAAAGAAAGAAAGAAAGAAAGAAAGAAAGAAAGAAAGAAAGAAAGAATGAAAGAAAAAAAAGAAAGAAAGAAAGAAAGAAAGATTGTCCTAGAGAATAAATTGCAAATGAGACGCTCAAAGACATAACTGGGAATTAGTGAAAGCGGGAAGGAAACGAATAAAGAGGGGTAGAATCGAATACTATAGAAAAAGTACTTAGGGGAAAAAATGAAAAAAAGGACGAAGTATTTTTCAAAATGAAGCCAGAAATAAAGAAAGGAAAAAAAATATCGGAGAATGAAATTATAAGGCTAACGGAAATACTTAAAAAGGAACCGGAAGCTACGGAAAGTAAGAAGGAATTCGAGAAAGAATAAGATAATGATATAAAGGAGTAGAATTTAAAAAAAAAAAAAAAAAAGAGAGAGAGAAAAATATGAAAAAAATAACTGGGGGACTTATGTTAAAATTCAAGGAAGAAAAAAAAAAGAAAAGAAGAAGGAAGGAAGGAAGGAAGGAAGGAAGGAAGGAAGGAAGGAAGGAAGGAAGGAAGAGAAAAACGAATAGATCGGCGTCAAGCTGCACAAATTTAAAATAAAATAAAATAAAAACAATCAAAGAAAAATGAAGGAAATGTCTTTTTAAAAAGATAATAGAAATGGGCAAGTGAAATAATTTTTTAAGTAGCGAAGAAAGAATAAAAATCAAGGCAAAAGAATTTATTTAAAAACAAGGTCAAAATAAATTTAAAGAATCGAAAGTTGTTATGATGTTGAAAATATAATTTTAAGAAAAATGATTCAAGGAAATAAAAAAATACATAAATAAATCTGCTAAATAAAAAAAAAAACGAAGCTTAAAAAGATGAGGAAAGTAAATGCGGGAGAATGGAAAGAAAGAAACAATGAATGGAGGCGAAAAAATTAAATCATGAAAAAAAAGAAAATAAAAAAGAATGAAGTTAGCAAAGAAAGTATCGAAATAAAGAAGAATGAAGAAAAAGAAACTGAAAAAAGAAAGATGGAAAATAAAACCAAAGAAAAATGAAATATGCAAAGAACGAAAGACAAAAAGAAGGAATGAAGAAACAAACAGATAGGAATAAAAAAAATGAATGGAGTTTACAAAGAAAGAAAGAAAGAAAGAAAGAAAGAAAGAAAGAAAGAAAGAAAGAAAGAAAACAAATGAAGAGGATAGCAAAATAAAAGAAGAAAAAGAAAGAACAAAAGAATAAAGAAAAGTGAAAAGAAACAAAAAAAATGGCAGTGAAAAATGGCACAAAAGACGTAAGGAAGAAAAGAATGAGAAAAAAAATACTTTTTTTATAGCGGCAGCATTTTATTTTATCAATAAATAACGCTGGCTTTGTCTGTCAATAAATCCAAAAATTTGGAATTCCTTAAATAAACGTCTTTTTCACTGAGAATAGTTTCTAAGTTTTTATTTTACTGACTTATTTTTCTTTTCCCTCGATAAGAATATTTCAACAAATGTGAAGGTTTTTTTATTCATTTTTATTTTTCACCACACTGCATCCATGTCATTGACATTAAATGCGCAAAAAGAAACCGTAAAAATAATTAAAAAAGAAAAACGGAAGGAAATGTTGCGTTTCGTTTTACAGATTTAATATATTTGTCTTGCAAAAATTTTGTACAGAAATCATTTTCAAAATTATTTTGATATTTCTGCAAATACCTCCTTTAAAAAAAAATGAATTGCCAACGAGTTAGATCAGTGTTACAAGCATCGAGCTCGAGGGTTTGTAAAGAAAGGCAACAGATAGAGAGAAACAGAGGAGAGTTGGAAATAATATTAAAGTGATTTGTAAGTTATTTGTATTTCTGATTCTTTTGAACAGTTCGATTTTGAATTGAATTCATCAATGCCGATGCAAAGACTTGAATCGCAGGAAACAAAGTCATCGAGAATCGTGACACCAGAATGTCTGCAAATTGAGAGAAACAAAAAAACAAAAAAAAACGCAATCTTTCAGAGAAATCGACACGAGAAAACTCTGCGAATACAATAGTAGGAAAGGCGTTATTTTTATCTTCCAATCTTGTTTTTCTTCACTTTTCTTTTTTCTTCTTTCCTTTTCTATTTTTGTTTTTTGTTTTGTTTTTTAATATAATACACTAATACACAATTTTCGTATTCTGTTTCCGGATGTGCCGTTTAAATTTCAGGTGTAAATAAAGAGACGATGAAGAAAACGGAATCTCGAATCTTAGCAAAAAACGTTTCAGGTGGTAAATTGTACAGAAAAAAGTCTATAGCAGTGGTTCTTAACCTTTTTTTGTCCAAGCCATCCTTTTCACCACATGTCAGAATGTCATCCCCCCCTCTCGCACTTTTTCCAAGATTAACACTCCAAAGATGCAATCTAAATAATATGCATATATTATTAAAAATTTTCATTCTTTTCCATATTAATACATATACATTTACGTGAATTATTATTTATTATAAATGTGTTTTTTATACTTGTAATGACAAAAGTACGGAGGTATAGGCTTTAAGAAAGCTTTATTCAACTGAGAATACAAGGTTCGCGTATAGTGACCTTTTATAGTCCCAGTAAACAGAAATAGCTCTCTCAAAGAGGTGAGTAACGGAAAAAGAGGAGACCACTCTTGATTATTGATAAAAATAGGTTCCAAATTCTGTAAATAAAAATCAAGAAAAAAAAGTGAAAGATATTTCCTCCCCCTTGAAACCCTGAAATCTCACCTTGGCAGGGTGGGGTGATTCGCCCCTGGTTGAGAAATACTGGTCGAGAAACCTTGATCTATAACAACAGTATATTAGAAAATCAAGTGTCCATAATGAAAGAATACTAGAAATTTAAGTTTCCATAATCAAAAGAATATTAAAAAATTAAGTGTGCTTTCATGATAATTCAGCTGAAGTTTGGAAGAGGATTTTAAAATCGTTGATGTTTAGGCAGGAGTTTGGAAGGTCATTTCGAAATAGTTGCTTGTTGAAGATGTTGTACAGTTGTCGGCGCAGAAAGTGAAATCGGCGAGCCGGGTTCAAATTTCCGCCGTGTCTGTTGCGTTCAATTTCACGCAAATACTTTTTCAAAACGTATCAATCCATTTCTTCTCCCATCAGATACGGATTAAATAGCAGGGTAGACTGGGTTCTCTAGTCTAGGCTGTCATTCAGTCTAGAAGCATTACTTCGAATGCAAAATCGTGAAGAAAGCAACGGGAAACCACTCTACTATTTTTCCGAGGTTAAATATGCATGTCTAATTCTCAAGCGAGGTTTCTATAAACATTCTTCTTAACACTGGCGATCTTTCAGCACAAAGTTTATCAGTAATGGCACTTAAAATGTTCTCTACCGACCGAACTTGTAAGCAACGAGGTTTTGGAGAGAATGGAAACAAAAAGGAAGTATACTTAACATCACGAAGAGGCAGTTCAGGTTTCTGGGGCACTTAATGAGAAAGGAGGACTTGGAAAATCTGATACTCACAGGACAGATTGATGGAAAGAGGGACAGAGGAAAGCAGCGCGTAACATACTTGATGAGCTTGAGCAAATGGATGGCAGAACAGGGTTTGGAAGAAATAACCAAAAGACAAAATTTATTAAGAGCTACAAGGGGCAGGAAGATGTGGAGAGCAATGATCGCCTACGAAGGAACACTGATGATTGTGTTACCGCGGTGACACGGTTGACATTTTTAACTTTAAAATCGAACTTGTGTTATATTTCATTCCTTGAACGTTTTTTCTAGTTTGGAAAATATTAAGCTCTGAAAAGAAATTTTAAATACCATATTTGTTCAAGAGGTAAGTGATCATGATTTTACACATTTTTTTACCTTTTTATTATCTTGGGAAAGAGAGTGCAGTGTTCATTCAGAATTTTCCTAATCTAATCTGGTTTCTATCCAAGACGAGAGGGTCCAGTCTTCTCTGATGTTTAACATAGCCGGGTATAAAAAAACAAATTAATGCATTTTCTGAGGACATTTGTGCGAAAATGAATGAAACCGATACCAGAATTTGAACTCAGATGGCTGACACCATTCTTCTGCGCCGAAATCCTTTACACCAAACATACATCAATTATTGGATCTAATATAATAAAAAAAAAAACTGTCTATATTTCTGAGATGAGGTATTATTATTATCATTTACACTATTTACATTTTTTGAACTTTGGTCCTTATCTTCGTTGCCATATTCACGACGTTTCGGCCGTTGTACGCTCCGGCCTCCTTCAGGTGATTGAAAGTTTGAACTGAACCCTTTGTTTCGTCCACCGCGGTAGATTGTTCTAGTTCCACATGCCATGCCTCTTCCGGATGTCTCAGTATTAGTTATCTACCTTTAACTCAACTCTCCATGGTTTTGTTCACCTCTTCTGTAGCCAGATACAGAACTTACAACTCTTTGGGTCAAGTCATTGGATTCAACCAATGCTTTTATCGACTAAGGAATGTGTCCTTGATGCTGAGACATCCAGAAAAGGCATGGCACGTGAAACTGGAACAGTCTACCCCTGTGGATGAAATAAAGGATTCAGTTCGAAATTTCTGAAGAAGGCCGGAACATACAACTGCCGAAACGTCGTGAATATGGCAACGAATATAAGGACAAAAGTCCGAACACTACAAATAATGTAAATAAAAAAAAATGTTTCAAACTAACGGAAAATACAATCTCGGTGAGTTCGACATTTTAACAGTTTAGATCACTGTTAATATTTAACAGAAGAGGGATGTATGTGGCACAAGGTCGAGTTTACCGTAGGCTCGGCCAAAAATATTCCCTTTGAACCTGTATAAACGGGTTCAGGGTCTGTCTACCTCCCCGGACGAAACTTTGCCCTGACGCAAAGCCTCGTCCGGGTTCCTCTCTGCTCGAGGCAGATAGTTCGACAGTTGAACAGTCTATATCACTGTTCTCCTAAGGCCTTCTCTCCTACTAATCTTATAGTAGGCGGAAGAGTCCAACATAGACTCTTTAGAGGGAGGACACCACAACAGGGAGAAAGAAAAAATATCGGAGAATGAAATTATAAGGGTAACGGAAATACTTAAAAAGAAACCGGAAGCTACGGAAAGCAGGACGGAATTGTAGAAAGAATAAAATGATGATATAAAAGGAGTAGAAATTTAGAAAAAAAAAAAGAGAAAAAATATGGAAAATAACTGGGGGACATGTTCAAATTCAAGGAAGAAAAAAAAGAAAAAAATAGAGATGGAAGGAAGGAACGAAGGACGAAAGAAAGGAACTAAGGAATATATACATTAAGAATTGGCCGACAATTTATTAAAGACATTTTTATGTTTAACATTCTTTTTATAGATACAAGTATTTAAGTAAATGCTTATATGTATGAATGTACGAGATTCATGGAAGATTGAAGTTTAAAGTAAATTCGACCTTGCCTACCGAACGCTCCTTTGTGGCCGAGTCGGTTAAGGCACGTCAGCGTAAATGACGGTTCCGTATAGGATGCAGGTTCGAATCCTGTCAAAGGACGAATATTTTCTATGAAAATTTCTCGGACATTCAGGCCGGTAAATGTTATTTAATACTGTTTATTATAAACAGAGTATTTACTTAAATACTTGTATCTATAAAAAGAATGATAAACATAAAAATGTCTTTAATAAGGAATATATATAGATAACTACCTACTTTGTGGTCTGTCTAGTAATTCTATGATATTGAATCTATCTTTGTTGTTGTTTAATCATGCAGATTAAAAAACAGAATCAAATTTATGTCACGTATTTGTAAGAATTTCGCGGGTAATGTCGTCACTGAGTTTGCATGATGTCCTCCAACTTTGAACTCTCTTGAAGGAGCGTCTAAACAAGTTTTCTAATCTATAAATTTGTATGTGTGTATGTCATATATATGGACGTGAGATACTTGCGTCTATTTGCGCCATTTACTGCATGCACAAGCATACACACGCACACAGACCAATTTGACGAATCTTGAAATAGGACAATGGAATAATACATTCTCTCCAACTTAGAATTGACAACATTTACCCTGGGCTGAGCAATAAAATCTTAAATTTGAATGCAAGATAATGGTCTCGGCTGATATGAAGTGGAAAGACTATATTGAATCCATTGCTAGGTCCACTGATAAGAATGTTAGTTCACTATAACGTGCTAAGGAATTTTTCCCTCCAGAATCTATCTTACATATCTATAAGTCTACCATCCGTCCATGGTTAGAATATTCTTTCCACATATGGGTTGATGCCCCTGATATATATTTCGAGATCCCTGATGAAACCCAAAGAAGAATCAACAATATTATTGGTCCTGATCTGTCGTCTCGGCTTCAGATCACTTTTTCCCTGCCATGATGTTGCTTCCCTGTGCCTTTTCTATAAATACTTTTATGGCAACTGTTTGGCTGAGTTATTCGTTATGATACCAAAACTTTATGAATTTAAGCCCAGGACTAGAATGGCGATGAGGTTTCATCAATTTACAGTTGAGTTGGCTAGATGTCACCGTAAGTTCTATGCTAGTAATTTCTTTTCTTGCACTTCTCGCATGTGGAAGTCTCTTCTGGTTCCATACTTTCCAGCTAACTTTAATCTTCAAAAATTTAAATTCTACTGTTCTCCTGCGGCTCAGTTTGAGAAATCGGAGAGCAGAGATCGAATTTCAGTCAGATCTATTACATTCACTTATGTGCTAATACCCTTGGGGAAAAGTACGAATCCTCTTCTACTACGCCCAGCTATCGGTAAATAGCAGGACAGACCGGGTTCTATAACATTGGATGGCAACTTGGTCTACCGCAGAAAGAAATGGCAACCTACCGCGGGAAAAATCTGCCTTGTCATCTGCCTTTCGATACATGATCGCCTAAGCGTGTATCACACATGGCACATAACTGATAGACTGACTGTCCTCCTGATTACTCTTCTTTTATTCCCTCTCTTTAGTAATATTTCTGTTCTTTAATTCTTCCACACCCAGTAATTTTCTGTGTCTTATTGGTTTTACTGTCTTGCTTGGGGCGAACTCAATTTAAAAAAGACTTAATTTTTCGAACCCTAAAAAAAAGATAATTACGAGATTTTATTGAACTGTTCGGAATTATTCAGTGAGAAATAGATATGTTTTATTTAATTTGTAAAGATTTTTATAATTCTGTAGAAATATTTTAGGTCTCTCGTTGAATTAAAATATATCTGCGCACGCGTAAACGCACACGCACAATTTGAATGATATTGAAATGGTCATCTGTGTCGTGAGAGTTCATTTTCCTTTTTCTCTGTCAATAACCCCTAGATAACAAGAGAAAAAAGTATAAGCCAGTCCTTTGAAGTCATTTTTATGACTTCTGTATTTAAATTTAAAATTTAATTATCTCATCGTCAGCGTAGCTATAGGTAATGTACTAAGAATAATTGTTAGCTTGATCCCCAGACACGACTAGAAAAGCCATTAGTAATTCTGTGTCAAAACAGAAAAAATATTCACCAGTGGCCAAAATATAATTTCCTGATTTGTGTAAATACCTGAATGAAAATCTCGCCTATTTGGACTGAGACTTGTCATATTTGAGTGTAAACTGAATAGAAAGTAAGAAACATTTTTCTTTGGTGCTAACTGCTTCGCATTTGTACCGTGAATGGGTGAGTTTATGTTTTTTATTATTTTATAAGCCATAAATATAACACTCCGTGGGGTTGTTTAATTAAAATGGTGTCGACTTATACATTAAGTCGGTTGCTTGATATTTTTAATCGTATATCAATCTCTATGGGTTATTTAAAAATCGAAAATATTTTGAACATAATTTTCTGGCTTCAAATTATTTTGATCGCAATTGTATGCCTTTAACTACAGATAAAATGTATTATTGGTCATTTTGCTATAATAGGTATTGTTGGCAATTTTACTATAAATTAGTATTGTTGGTTAATTTTTTATATAAAAATGTATTGCTGGTATTTTTACTAAGAAAATCTATTTTTATACCTTCATAAGGTTTTCTTTTTGTTTGGGAGTTCTCTATTTGCCCATAGCTGAGAACTTTAGAGGGTAAAGGAGGACCTGGAAACAATAAATAATTAAGATATGATTCCACACTCCTCAAAATCTCCAATCTCCCAAGCAGAGTCCTTGCTGCCGGATATAGCTTATCATCATACTCAGGTCTATATATACATTAAGCATAACTTCTTGGTGATAAAGCAAGGAATAACCTATACATATGTATATATCTATACTCTCCACAGTGTGTTTGAAATGGAGTTATGGTTACAGTCTTATATATAGTTGAACTTTTCCCTTTCTAACCACTATGATAATATTTGATTTTATGACATGGATGAGAACATAGAAATCACGAATTAGCACTGTCTTTTTTTAAGCTTATTGTTAAAATCATTATCTTTATTATCGCCATCATTATTATGATTGATTTGGGGGTTTTTTACGGCTTATCAGCCTTTTTTCTTTTTTTTTTTAAGCGTTTCACCTCAAGCAAGGCGAGAAGCCACTAGAACGCAAGGGGTTACAGAAGATTTGGGGCAAGATCAGATAGGAGTGATAGAAGAAAGGATGTGGAGAAGGATAGTGGATAGATCAAGGCAAATGAAGATGTTGATTGACATTACAGTTGAATAGTTGGAGATTATAGCTCTCAGGGAAACTGGAATAGGGAAGGGAGTTCCACAGGCGAGAGGTGCGAGACATGAAGCTATTGGAGTAGAAGAGACGGCTACATTTAGGAGTTTTGACAGTGAAAGGGTGAGAGCGGGATGCCAGCCTCGTAGGGTGCTTGAACTCATGAAGTCTGGGAACCAGCGAATGCAGCTCCTCGGAGCAATTGCCATGAAAGTATTTGTAAAAACAGACAGAGAGAGACGACGGCGCGTCTGTGAGAGAGTGACTGTAGACGAGATGCCAGAGCAGGGCCAATTATATTACATATCCGCCTCTGGGGCCTATTGTACTTGAAGCCAGAAAATATTTTTAGGTTGTAAGAAATTTTTTGAGATAAGGATTTACTGATGCAAGTCCTACACTAAATGACCCATGGGGATGGGTGGGGAGTGGATCCCTAACTTTTCTAATGATATTTGTACGTGAGTATAGCGAACCTGACTGGAATTGGAACTCGGCTCTCGAATTCCAATTCCAAGCCGTTATACATTACACCACTCATACAGCCAAGCTTACAGCACCTGGTCTTACCAAGCGGTCACCCATCTAGGTACTGACCAGGCTCGTCGTTACTTAACTCGGTGATTGTACGAGAACCGCTGTTTTAATGTGATATGGCCTTAAGCCGCCATCATTATTATGATCATTTATTATTACAGTGTAACCCGGATATAAGAGAGTTGTCGGGACCGGAGACGAAGTCTCTTATATCCGGGTTTCTCTTATATCCGGGTTTGGTCTATTTTATATACATTAACACAGGCTCTAATTTGGGACCAGAGAAAATCACTCTTATATCCGGGTCTCTTATATCCGGGTTACTCTGTATTATTTACTGAATTTTCATGCGAATAGCAGATAATAGCTCTTGTTTAGAACCAAACAGCAGCAAGTATTTCAGAAAATTAAGAAAATTGGTGACAATTTATATTAAGAATATAATTTACCTTTATTTATTCAGAAAATTGGTCACAATTTATATTGTCAGCAATTTTCTTTCTATTCTTTATTAGTAGTATTACATGAATTTTCAAACCAACAGTATCTGTTAGCTTTCACATGAGATCAAGTGACACCAAGTCATTTCAAATCATCACTTTCCTTATTCTTTATTCAACTTGTGGCATTATGGAGAATTTATTTTAACAATCAATTCACTCCAAGCAAGGCGATAATGCCACTAAGACGCAAGGGGCTACTGGGAGTGAAAGGGAAATTAAAAAAAAACTTTAGAAAGAACTGAAAACCTAATCCTGAACAGGAAATAAACAGGGATAAACATCTAGTCCTGTTCAAAAGACCAAGGAGGGTAATACATCACAATCCCAGCTACCGTGTAAGTCCAGTGTTTATTTACACATTTAGTAAGCTTAGCTGAGCAAGGCACAAGTCTAAAAGGGGGCTTCTCGGATGGAGCTGTTTAATCCACATTTTCCAACCATGTTAAAGTTCAAAATCTTTTGCACGGTTTCGTATGAAATTATTTATTTCCTACTCTACTACCTCTTTCTCCACAGACGCAAAATCGCAGGTTTCTCGGTATTTCCATTGTAAATGTTCAGTTGAGATCCACTCTTTACTTTGACCATTTCAGATCTTCATAGCCAGAACTCGCCATGCTATGTCCACAGAGTCGAATCACCCACGTTTTACCCGTATTTTAAATGTGAAAAGGAAGTTCCCTTCGGGTAGCCTTTCTCCCGTGAACTGCTACATTGTAGAACAGAGTCCCACGTGGGTGCTTCCATGAAAATTAAAATTTTAATCTCTTACATCAAGCATACATATATATATATATATATATATATATATATATATATATATATATATGTGTGTGTGTGTTTGTGTGTGGTCTGACGATTGCATATAGCATGAAACAGACTGTCGCCTCTAAGTGTTGACTTCTATGTTCACTTTTATATATATATATATATATATATATATATATATATATATATATATATACACTTTATCCTGATAATCTTCACTTCCTTCAATCTCCTTTTTTATTTATATCACGCACCACATTTAACTAAACTATTTCCACTCAGACATCTTTTCTCCTAGTCCTGTGTCGATGGTTCCCTGAAATCTTATCATCTTCAAATCAAGATTCATTCCCTATCTATCCTCCTTATCCTCATAATCTTCACTTTCTTCTTCCTTCTCTTAATCACGCACCTCATTCAGTAACATTCAGTAATGAGTGATTCTTGAGTCTTGTATCGGGTGAGTTTTATCATTCTTTAAAAAAATTGTAGGAATATCATGTTACACTTATCTTCCAGGTGGAATGTAGCTTGCTTGCCTAAAAAATAAACATTCGAGATTTTAATTTCTAACTGGAATCAAACACCAACTTAATTTTAACCACCACGATAATGGACATTTTTTGTTCGTCCCCGCAAAAAAAGTTAACAGCCGTAATTTTAAAGTATGGAAATTTAAAAAGAAAAAAATGTATTTTATTTTTCTCATTGACGAAAAATTCAATTCATTGAGTTACATTGGGGTCACATTTAATCAATGTTCCTCTTTTGTGATTTTAGTAACATAGTAATTGTGAGTTCAATCCCTGGACTGAGCACTGTTCATCCTGGAAATTCAAATAGAAAATATGACAGTATTTTGTTAGTCCCAACCAGAAGAAAACTTTCATAATTGAGAAAAAGTTTCAAGTCTATTTTGTTAGCCCCACCTCAACTCCTAGTGCTAGAAGTTGGGGTTAAAGTTAGGACAGGGCTAAGTGCCATATTCAGAGTCCGACCTATAACGCGTAAGAATTTGCTCACTAAAAGTAGTTCGCATCATTTTCAAGGAGCGTTTAAAGGAGTTTACCACTAAGCCCCCTCCCTCTCTGACGACGTTAAAGTTTTCGCTTTCGACACGAAAACTATCGAAAAAAGACCCAGCATTTTGTTTTTGATTCATATATATATATATATATATATATATATATATGGAAAAAAACATAACCCTTTTTTTTTGTCTTCCATACTTTAAAATTATGAACGTTTCTTCCCACCAAACGATTAACCAGGTTTCTCAGTCAAAATATAGTACCGTATTTTTCGGATTATAAGATGAGCAGGTAAATAAGGTACACTCTTATTTTGAAGACAGTGTTAAAAAATAGCTGCCCTCATATTTGAAAGCTTTTTCTACGAAACAAAAATTCAATCTGATGCTTTAAAAGTTAGCAATTATTGTACTAAACACAAAATAGTTCAAGACATAAAAATAAGCAAAGTAAATAAAACGCAAGCAAATTTGAGAACATAACTTTGAGTAACAAAAAAAGTGCGTCTTATACACAAAAAATACGGTAAATTTTTGTTCGGTTCATCTTTTTGGTAAAGAGAACCTTCCATTCGAATCTTGGTCGAAACCTGGGAGAGCAGGCACACTTAGAAAAGACATTACTGTCTTAACCACGAGGCAGGCTACACAGATCTCTGATTATTCAATGAAATCGCCTTCTTTAATGCATGATTTTATTTATTTATCAGAGAACGCATTGAAACACAACGTCTCCGCCTTATGTACGTAAATGAACAAAAACTTTAGCATCAGATAAGATTTATTTAATTGCAACTTCGCTTTTCTGATGGCAGCTTTTCGATAAAATTTACAGTACTTTTTATTCGCTTATTTATTTTTGAATTCTGGTCCATGTCGACTTGTTCTAAATCTCTGATCCTATAGCAGATTCAACAAGAATAGTTTTTGAAGAAAAGGATGTGAAATAATTCATGTGATAACGACGTCTTTCTTGTTCGCTTTCAAACCGGTAAATCTTATCGTGTATAGACTGTATTGCTCAGAAAGTAATTCTTTATCAAGATTCGAAAAAATCTGCTTGGTTGTTTTTTAAGCTGCTTACCCAGGTTTTTGCCTCCCCAAATCCCTTCATAAGTGACATTTTTAGGTCGCTGTGAACAACCGATTTCTGCATTATTTTTTTTTTAAATTAGTTTTAAGTCACTAGCAAAGTTTTGCGATTTATTTGAAAACAAATGCCCAATAAGTTATGAAAGGAAATGTTAACGTTGATTTTTACAGATTAAAAATTTATATTCATATAAAACGCAGTACTTTACAAGAAATGTTTAATTGATTTTTTAAGCATGGGTTTTAAAATTACTTTCTGGGTGTTAAATTTAAAGGAACTGTTCACAGTTTGTGCCTGTATATTAAGCATTTCTCGTGTGCCCTCGGTTGACTTCAGTCATAGTCGAGAATTAACGTTCTATGATCACTTTGTAATTGTACAGGTATGAAAAGTTTCCAGCGCATTTCGTTGAAAATTAAAGATTAAATATAGAGTTTTTTGCTACAAACTTTTGAACACACCTAATATATATATATATATATTAAGAAACAGACAACTTTAAGGGTTCATGGTGATTATAATTTATTTCCATAGAATTGAAATTCGATTGTCATTCCTCAGAACAACATTTTCAGACAAATAAATGGGTGACAAATATTCCAAGTATAAGAAGAATTCAATATTATTATTTTTAATTTATGCACACATGTGTTTGAGGAGGCAGGTTTAAATTGGTGGCAGAAGGGGTTGATGGCGGGGTGTTGAAGGAGATATATAACCTCTCGAAAGGAAAAAAGTGATTAAGAGAGTGGAAGATAAAAGACATGCAAACAAAATTATATATATATCTCCTTCTGAAACCCCCCACGTCCCGCCATCAACCCCCTCCCGCCACCAATTTAAATCTGCCTCCTCAAACACATGTGTGTATAAATAAAAAATAATGACAGTGAATTCTTTATAATTAATATTTGCTCTGTTTTTACATTGAGCTCTCTGGATTATATCCTCCCCAGAATTATCCATACGGATTACCAAACACATCTTTATGTCATATATATATATATATATATATATATATATATAAAACAACTAAAAAGTTACAAATTAAAAAAAAATAATAATGTTTTTATGAAAGTATTTATTTATATTTGATATTTCAGATCGACCTCGATCTTTCTTCAGATGTAACTAAAGATCGAGGTCGATCTGAAATATCAAATATAAATAAATACTTTCATAAAAAAATATGATTATTTTTTTTAATTTGCAACTTTTTAGTTGTTTTTTCTATATATACATATTAAGAAAGTATATGTGGCTTCTCATTATGCTATATATATATATATATATGTATATATATATATATATATATATATATATATATGAGGTCTATCTGAAAAGTAATGGGACTGGTGTTACAAACAATTTATTTCAATTCCAAGCAACAAACTATATGGTTTCCCCTTCAAAGTAATACCCCTCGAATCTAATGCACTTTTCCAACCTTCTCTGCCACGCTTCTCTGCACTGCTGGAAGGATTCTTCTTGACTGCCCCTCAGCTTTGTCGTTATGGTCCCCTTGATGACCTCCTTCAAAACGGGTCCCCTTGATGATCTTGGTCTTGTGGGGAAAAGAAAAAGATCACACGGAGCGAGATCAAATGAATAGGGAGGTTCTTCCAGTACGGTTCTTCTTGGCCATGAAGATATCATGTTAGATGATAACACAATCCGTTTATTCCTCTTTCGGGCATAACTCACACCACCCATCCAGTCCCATTACTT